TTGCCAGGGATGCTTTACCACTCAGTCACATCCCCAGCCCTTTTAATATTTTTATTTTGAGACAGGGCCTCGCTAAATTGCTAAGGCTGGTGTTGAATTTATGATCCCCCTGCCTCAGCCTCTTCAGTCACTGGGATTACTGGTGTGCACCACCATGCCCAGTGAGATGTGAATGTTTTTTTTTTTTTTTTTTTTTTTTAAAGAGAGAGTGAGAGAGGCAGAGAGAGAGAGAATTTTAATATTTATTTTTTTAGTTCTCAGCAGACACAACATCTTTGTTTGTATGTGGTGCTGAGGATCGAACCCGGGCCACACGCATGCCAGGCAAGCGCGCTACTGCTTAAGTCACATCCCCCAGCCCAGATGTGAATGTTTTGACAAATAAATAAGTATGTCAAATTACTTTCCCTTTCATATATTTCAAAGACTTTTTAAATTTGTATGTAAGATCAGTGATATAGGCACTGCATTGCTGACATCAGTAAAACATGGCTGGGTCTCGTTGAATTCATGTGGTTAAAATGGAAGAAATTGGATTGGATTGTAGTTGATGTATATTAAAATGATACTTGAATAACTATACACCAAGAATCTAGAAGATTAAACAGTTTCTTGAAAAAGGAGCAGCCGGGCATGGTGGCACATGTCTAAACCCAGCGGCTCAGGAGGCTGAGGCACCAGGATCATGAGTTCAAAGCCAGCCTCAGCAAAAGCGAGGTGCTAATAAGCAACTCAGTGAGACCCTGATTCTAAATAAAATACAAAAATAGGGCTGGGGATGTGGCTCAGTGGTCAAGTGCCCCTGAGTTCAATACCCAATTAAAAAAAATTTTTTTAAAGGAACAAATTTAGAGGAATCACAATCCCTCACTTTGTTTTTGTCATACCAGGACCTATTCCTGCTGGGCAAGCACTCTGCCATTGAGCTTCCTTTTTTTTTGGTAAATAACAAGGATGGAACCCAGGGATGCTTAATCACTGAGCCACATCTCTAGCCTTTTGTATGTTTTATTATTTTTTTTTCTTATTTTTTGAGTACTGGGGATTGAGCTCAGGGGCACTCAACCACTGAACCACATCCCAGTTCTATTTTATATTTTACTTAGAGACAGGGTCTCACTGAGTTGCTTAGTGCCTCACCGTTGCTGAAGCTGGCTTTGAACTTGTGATCCTCCTGTCTGCTGGAATTACAGGTGCGGGCTGCCTAGACTTTGAAGAGGACAAATGCATATGATTCTAATTAGCCTAAAAAAAAGATAGCAAGTAAGACACACCTGTGTATTTTAAGATATCACAAATTTCAAATTCACCACTTTTTTTTTGTTTGTTTTTTTTGGTGGTGCTGGGGATTGAACTCGGGGTGGGGGGTTGCTCTACTACTGAGTTACATAACCAGCACTTTTTATTTTACTTTGAGACAGTATCTCACTATGTTGTTCAAGCTGGCCTTATACTTGTAATCCTCCTAGCTCCATCTCCCAAATTACCAGGATTACAGTTGTGTACCACCGCACCTGGCTACTTGTTTTTGTGATACTGAAGATTGAACCAGGGTCTTGCTCATACCAGGCAAGCATTCTACCACTAAGCTACATCTCCAGCCATTGCCATTATCTTTTAATTAAAGAACAAGCAGGGCATAGCCATGGCGATACGTGTCTAATTTCTGTGGTTAAGTGCCCCTGGATTCAATCCCCACTACCAAAAAATAAATTTAAAAAATTAAAGAAGGATACTGTCAAAATGTGTTTCTAAGAAGCAAAATGGTAAAGGGATTCAGGGCAACTCAGGTTGGGCAGTGGTGAGACCCAGGACTTTAACCCTAAAAAAGCCACACTAGCTACATTCAAATTGTTAAGAATCTGTTACTTTTTAGAGGACATAATAGGGTAGTTTAATGTATAATTCAGCAATGTGTGGGTGGGTCAAATCCTGGTTTTGCCACTTAAGCAGTTATATGAACTTAGACAATTCATATAACCTTCCTTTTCCTCCATAGTAAAATAAGGTTTATAAGGATGATGATAATGATACCAACCTCATGGGTTGCTGAGAGGATTAAATTGGTGCCTGCTATAAGTATTATATATAAAATTTAATTGAATTTAATGGTGGATAGAAATAAAAGGGTGACAGATTTAGTTTATTCTAAGGAAGAAGTTCCTAATAACTAGAACTGTTCAAATTAGGAACAATATCCCCAAAATTAGATCTTGATAGAAATGCTTAAAGAATGTCTTTTTTTTTTAAATTGCAGTATTGGGGGTCAAAACCAGGGCCTTGCATATGGTAGGCAAGTGCTTTATCACTAAGCTATATCTCCAGCCCCCCACTTTTAACTAATTCTATTTATTTATTTATTTGGTACTAAGGATTGAACTCAGGGGCACTCAGCCACATCCCCAGCCCTATTTTGTATTTAGAGACAGGGTCTCATTGAGTTGCTTAGGACCTCTCTAAGATGCTGACTGAGACTGGCTTTGAACTTGTGATCCTCCTGTCTCAGCCTCCTGAGCCGCTGGGATTACAGGTGTGGGTTGCTGAGCCCAGCTTAATACAATTTCTTTAAATAGAAGTATGTCTTAGGGGCTGGGGATGTGGCTCAAGTGGTAGCGCACTCGCCTGGCATGCGTGTGGCCCCTCAGCACTACATACAAACAAAGATGTTGTGTCCACCGAAAACTAAAAAATAAAATATTAAAATTCTCTCTCTCTCTCTCTCTCTCTCTCTTTAAAAAAAAAGTATGTCTTAGTAGTAACAGTATTTTACAAAAATGGGAGCTGATAAACAAGTTTGTTTTTCTTTTAGGAACACACAATTTCTAAATATGAAATGAGGTGGTTTTTAGAAGGAAATGAATGAGATGTAGTCTGTATTATCAGAGTTGACATCATATATTTTGCATTTGGTTCTTTTCTAGTTGTCTGCACCCAAGGAAGAAAAAACACCTGTGTCTGGAATTTATTTTGAAAATATTTTACAATTAATGTTGCAATGACTAATCAGAAAAAAAAAAAAAAGGCTAAAGCAGGGTCCTGGAGATCCTTTGCTTTGCTGGGCTATAACCCTCAGTTGCTGGATAAAGGGCAAATGTGGGAGGATCCTGAGTGTGTGAAGCAATAAAGAGGACATGGGCTTGGAACAGTGGCTATCTTGAGCAATCATGGAGATATTTTAATAAACTGATTTTATTATCAGTTCTTTCAGTATACTCTATTGCAGAGAACTATCCTTTCCCCTATGTATTATCTTAGTTGAAAATTAAGGGCTGAGGATATGGCTCAAGGGGTAGCGCGCTCGCCTGGCATGCGTGCGGCCCGGGTTCGATCCTCAGCACCACATACCAACAAAGATGTTGTGTCCGCCGAGAACTAAAAAATAAATATTAAAAATTCTCTCCTCTCTCACTCTCTTTAAAAAAAAAATTAACAGTTTCTTTCTGGGCTCTCAGTTCTGTTCCATTGACTTATTTGCCTATCCTTATGACAGTACTAAATCATCTTGATTACTATAGCTTTTGTAGTCATTTTTGAAACTAGGTAGTGAATTCCTCCAACTTTGTTCTTTTTCAAAAGTGGCTGTCCTGAGCCAGGAGTGGTAGCACAGGCCTCTAGTCTCAGCTCACTGGAAGCTGAGGCAGGGGAATCCTAAATTTAAGGCCAGCCTGGTGAAATGGAGATCCTGCCTCAAAATAAAATTTTTAAAAAGGATGGGGAGTAAGGGCTGGGGCTGGGGCTCAGCAGGTAGTGCACTTGCCTGGCATATGTGAGGCACCAGGTTTGCATCCCCAGCCCTATTTTGTATTTTACTTAGAGACACGGTCTCAGAGTTGCTTAACACCTTGCTTTTACTGAGGCTGGCTTTGAAGTCGCCATCCTCCTCTCTCAGCCTCTGGTACACACAAATACTTTCTTATACTGATTTGTATGCTGGGACCATAACAAACATACAAGTTTTGGTTTTTGTGGATTCCTTATTATTTTCTACAAAGGATCATTCCATCTCTGAATAAAGGCAGTTTTATTTCTCCCAGTCTTATGTTTCTCTACCTTTATTTATTCCTACTGGCTACCCCCTCTACTACAAAGTTGAACAGAATAAGTTGAATAGAAACGGTGGGAGTCCATGTCCTTGTTATGTTCCTGATCTTTTATTTTTTTAATTTTAATTTTTTTGTTTTTTAAATTATTTTGTAGTTGTAAACAGAATGCCCCTATTTTATGTTTATTTTTATGCGGTGCCAAGGATCAAACCCAGTGCCTCACACATGCTAGGCAAGCGATCTGCCACTGAGCAGCAGCCCCAGCCCCATGTGTTGTAAAGACAACACATAAGCTAGGAACAATTGCCAACATTTAGGCTTTTTAAGAATGTAACTGGATCGCTGGTCGTGGTGGCATAACTCCTATAATCCGAGCAACTCGGGAGGCTGAGGCAAGAATCGTAAATCAAGGCCAGCCTCAGCAATTTAGCAAAGTCCTAAACAATTTAACGAGATCCTGCCTCTAAATAAATAAATAGATAAATAAATAAATAAATGGGGCTGGGAATGTGGCTCGGTGGTTGAGCCCCTCTGGGTTCAATCCCTGGTCAAAAAAAGAAAAGTGTAACTGGATCAAAGCCAGAGACCAAGTGGAACCATTGTTCCCTAAGTGTTGTGTTAACGCCTAGAATTAATAAACTTCGAATCTGAGAATGAAATCATTAGTACTATAGTTTAACCTAACAGTAGCTTAAAATAGTCACACCTTTAATAACATTATCTCAGTAAGATGTGACACTGCTTCTTCGTGGAAATAATTTTACATTCCTAAAAAATGAATTACAAAGGCGTTTTCCCCAACTACCTCAATCCAATGACCTAATCTATCAAAAAAAAAAAAAAAGGATCGAATGAGGGAAGAACGCTATTGATTGACGTGCATTTCAGCCAACCTGTGGCGGAAGACGAACGCGCGCGCGAGAAAGCAAGCCGTTGTCCAATCAATACTCAGGAGGGGGCGGGGATTGTGGGAGCCGCCCGTCGCCGGGTTGGCAGACGTGAGAAGAAGCGAAGATGGCGGAGTGAGGAGCGCCTCGGCCATTCGGCCGTTTGGCCTCTGGGCCGGGGGCGTGCAGGCCCCCGGAAAGCCGACTGCGTCTGATGGACCATGTGAGGTGAGCCGAGAAGGGAGACTACGAGGGGACAAGGAGGCTGTGTCTTGCCCAGCCGTCCGGGCACCGAGTGTGCGGGAGCCTGCTGGTAACAGAGCCCTTCCAAGCTGGAATTGCCATCCTTGGCCGCCCCAGGGCAACCCACACCGCCGTCCCGGTGTGTCCCTCAGTCTACTTGTTCAAGCCTCCTCCCGGCTCCGCGCCCTTCCCTGTGCCTTGCCTTTGCCTGCCATTGTGTTTCGGTTTGTTCCTAGGGGATTTCACACATACTGGGCTTTCGTGGCAGCCGATTGTCGGCCACCGATTTTTTTTTTAAGAATTTCTTTGTTTTATTGATTTATTTTCATCTTTTGTCTCAAGACTTGGTGCCCACGCTGTTGTCTAAGGCTCCAGTGTCATTTGAGGCCTTTTGTGGCCCTGAGTTTTTTTTCTCCAGCCCGTTGACCTTGAGATTTCGTGTAACAGGTTACCCCTGGATTTTCATTAGCGTTTGTGTATCTCAGACATCCCCTTGAACCTATAGTATATCCAATCGCTTCTGCTCCTACCTCCCAAACTTTTATGATCCCGAGAAAGCAGCTTTGTCCTTGTCCTCGAAAGTCTTATAATGGCTGTATGACGCTTTTAATTTCGGCTGAAGCTAGGTCACAGTGGTATTCACTGTTGATTTCTTATCCAAAAGTAAGGGAGTGAGTTTACAGAGCTTTTTTAAACAAAGAGAAATAGTTTGGACAATGTTATTAGAAAGTAATTTGTGTAAGGTGATCAGGTTTCATAGCATCAGTACTGTCAGACATTTGTATTCTTTTCCTTTTTAACTCTGTGGGGTCTCTGTTCCTAATTTGGATCCCTGTTGGATCTCATTTAAATTCCATGCGTTTCTGCTAATGGGTTTCTGAATTGGTAAGGCCTTATTAAAACTGTGACAGGTTAGTTGAGTCGAGTTCAAATGGAAATATTAATACAAATGAATGTTTTTTATAGATTATATGCTCTTTGCTGGCCCTGGATTTAGGAGAGCTGAAAATAGCATAAAGAAGCACTTCTAATTGAGACTTTTTTGTTGCTTTTGTCCGTTTTTTCATTTCAACCAAGAGAAGGAAAAAAGAGCTGGCCAGAAGAAAATAATGTAACATTCTTACAGAGGAGAGTGTATGTACACTAAAGCAAAGGTTTTAAGTAGATGACAACTACTGGAAATATTATGCACCATTATACATTTTCCAGGAGGAACAAAGTTCGATAGTCTCATCAGGAAAAGAGGAAAGTGTTTCATAAATCTACCACTTCAAGAGTTTTGACATCTTTTGAAAGTAGGTGCCAGTGTAGTAGAGAGTAACTTTTTGCTAATTGTTTCTTCTGAATTGTTTGTAGTAGTGATTTTTTTAAATATTTATTTTTTTGTTGTAGTTGGACACAATATCTTCATTATTTAGTGCGGTCTGGAGGATCGAACCCAGGGCCTCGCACATGCTAGGCTCTGCTGCTGAGCCACAATCCCAGCCCCTGTATTAGTGAGTTTTTTATAGTAGTACATATAGCACCAGTGATGGCTATATCCTTACCTTAATGTTATTTTTATTTTGCAGAATTCTTGTCACACAGGATGAACACTTTCCTTACATTTAGGTGCTTTTTATTCATCTCAAAACAAAATTCTGAACTCAGGATGTGGCCGGTAAGTAGCAGTAGGCTAATCATTTCAAATAATATTTAAGCAGCAACAAAAGATGAATATTAAATTGACTATAAATTATTGATAGCTGAGTACTTTATTTACATATATGTATCCTTGTTTTTTAAAAAGACAGGGTCTTGCTATGTTGCCCTCCTGGCCCTAAACTCATGGGATCAAATGATTCTCCTGCCTCAGCCTCCCTAGTAGCTGGGACTACAGACTGCCACTACTGGTACATATTCTGTATTTTAACAGAAGCAATATAAAAAATTTAAAAAGGAAAAATTTGATCAGTTACCTAACCTATAATTTTTCATTGGCTATCAAAAACATAGGTTTAATTAGATGGAAGGAAATGAGCTGATTAAAAAATAAATATTACTATGCAAGTTTTAGAATGTATTCACTTAGATTACAAAGTACTGGCTATCAGAACCATGCCTTGCCCATGCTAGGCAAGCTCTCTACCACTGAGTTACTTCCCCAGCCCTAGGTTTTTTTTAATATTGATGTTTATAGCTGTACATTACCCTCTTAGTGTTACTTTCACTATATACATAAATTTTGTTTTTGCTTTTATATATGGGAGCTTGCATCCAGAAGCACTTTACCGATGAACCACATCCCCCAGCCTTCTGTATTTTGAGACAGGGTTTGCTAAGTTGCTTAGGACCTCAATAAGTTTCTGAGGCTGGTCTTGACCTTGTGATCTTCCTGCCTTAGCCTCCCAAGTTGCTGGGATTATAGGTGTCTGTAAATATGCTCAGCTCTGAAAATTTTTAGTATTTTTTTTCTCATTTATCTCAAGATATTTTCTAATTTCTCTTCTGATTTTTTTCTTTCACCCATTGATTATTTAGATAGAGTTTACTTTCCATTGGCTCACTGATTTTAAATTCTGAGAATTTAAGGTTCCCAGGACAAAGCCAGTTAAATTCTTTATCATACAATAGAGTGTCCCTAATACATTGTCAGAGGAGACAATAGAAAGTTTTGAATACCAAGAGACAAGTCACTTGGAACTATTTTAGAGGCAGGCTTTATTTTATTTGTTTCTTTTTATGTGGGGCTGAGGATTGAACCTGGGCCTCACACATGCTAGGCAAGCAAGCGCTCTGCCACTGAGTTACAGCCCCAGCCTCGTAGTGAGGTTTTTTAATAACAAAAGTTACTCATCTTATCAATAGGACCAAGCAAGTGACTTCAGAGACCCAAAAGTGTCTAGCAAAACACTAGCTTTATAGGGAATTTACTTGTACATTTTGTGCATCAAAGTATATAGTTCTGGTTTCCTTGCCTATATCTGGAACTTGTGTCTTTTTACATTTTTATCTATGTTGGCGAGGTATATTTAATGAGTTGATAACAGAACTGCCTAATGGCTGAGTTAGCCTAAATTTCTGTAATGAAACAGCCTTGCTGCCCATAGGTTCTTTTTTTTTAATATATTTTTAGTTGTAGATGGACACTACGTTTATTTTATTTATTTATGTGGTGCTGAGGATTGAACCCGGTGCCTCACACGTAGAGGCAAGTGCCCTACCACTGAGCTACGACCCTAGCCCTGTCCATAGTCTTTTTTTTTTTTTAATCTTTATTTTATTTATTTTTTATGTGGTACTGAGGATTGAACCCAGGGCCCCTGTACATGCTAAGCAAGCACACTACTGCTGAACCACAATCCCAACCCCTGTCTATAGAGTCTTAAGGTTGTGAATCTTCTGTCCTCTTCACTTCGTTGCTGCTTTTGCAACAAATGCAAATTTTTTTCTCTTCCTTCTGATTTGCTGCTGAATTAATTTACATTTTTCTTTCTTAGGCTTTCAATCAGAACTTTGTCTTAAATCTTCAGAAGAGGCTATTCAGGTTTAAAGATTTTTTTTTTAAGAGGTGTGTCAGGGATTGAACACAGGGGCTCTTAACATTGAGCTACATCCCCAGCCCTTTTTATTTTTTATTTTGAGACAAGGTTTTGCTGAGTTGCTTAGGGCCTTGCTTAAGTAACTGAGGCTGGCCTCAAGTTTGTGATCCTTCTGCCTTAGCTTTACATGTAGCTAGGATTACATGGGTGTGTCACCATGCCCAGCTATTTTTTATTTGGTGCTAAGGACTAAACCCAGGGTCTCACACATGCTAGGCGAGCACTCTACTGCTGAGCCACAATCTCAGCCCCTGGTTTTTTTTGTTTGTTTGGTAAGTGGATCTTTATTTATTCATTTATATGTGGTGCTGAGGATTGAACCCAGGGCCTCACACATGCCAGACAAGTGCTGTACCACTGAGCCACAACCCCAGCCTCTGTTGTTTTTATTTTTAAAAATACATGAAAATAGGGCTGGGGCTATAGCTCAGTGGTCGAGCACCTGCCTTGCACGTGTGAGGTGCTGGGTTCGATCCTCAGTACCACGTAAAAAATGAATAAATAAAGATATTGTATCCATCTACAACTAAATAAATGTTTTTTAAAAAACACATGAAACAGACTAAAAACAGTGTACTAGATAACTAGTTAGCCAGTAGCTTTAGACCATTTTTGTAAACTGAAATAATTTAAGGTTTTGTTATATATGATTTGTTTATGTCATACGTAGCAAAACTTATTATTCTAACTATTTTAAGTATATAATTTATTGATATTAAGTATGTCCCATATTATCCTATAACTGGTATCTATTTCTGAAATTTTTATATCATCTCAAATTCTACCAATTAATCAATAACTCCTCACCTGTTCTACCCACTCAAACCCAAATCATCCCTATTCTTTCTATCCCTATGAATTTGCTTACTTAGGTATCTCATATGAGTGGAATTGTATGGTACTTATGATTTTGTGTTTGAATTATTTTTGTAAATTTAACAGTTCAGCAGCAATGAACTGGATTTATTTTTTACATGCTTGCATTTGGTGACCAAATATTATATATTGTCTTTTTTATCATTTATTTATTTTTTTAGTTGTAGGTAGACACAATACCTTTGCTTTATTTTTATGTGGTGCTGAAGATCAAACCCAGTGCCTCATGCATGCTAGGCAAATGTTCTACCTTTGAGCCACAACTCCAGCCCTGTATATTGTCTTATGATTATATTTTTACAAAAAAAAATTTTTGTTTATTTTATTTTTAATGTGGTACTGAGGACCTAACCTAGTGCCACATCATGCAAGGCAGGTGCTGTACCACTGAGCTACAGCCCCAGACCCTTACTGTTGTTCTTATACAGCTGAAAGTAAGATGAGCCAGCCTTAGTAACTTAGTGAGGCCTTGAGCAACTTAGTGAGACCCCTGTCTCAAAATAGAAAATAAAAAGGGCTGGGGATGTAATTAAGTACCTCTTGATTCAATCCCCAGTTTTAAAAAAAAGACAATATTGAATTTGGTGTTATGATTGGACATTTTCTTATAAAGTATAATCCAAAGTATTTGTTTCTTTATGTATGTTTTAAATATTGTTTTAAAAAGTAAGCTCATGTAGAAGATGTACCTGTCCTAATCTTTCTATTTTTAATTTTGTATTTCTAGGTATTTCTAAGTTGTCTTCTAGAGCGGGTAGTCCTGCTTCTTTTATCCAGCCACTTTCCCTACTGAAATATGGATACCTTTCTACACATTACCTCCATGGTTTGGATTGGAAAAGATTGCTTTTCTTTTGTTCCACCTTTCAAATTCAACACAGAAAGAAGCCCTTAGGGTGCAGTTATCCTGCTGACTTTTCCCGGAAGAAAAAAAGCAATTGATGGGTCTTCTGCAATTTGCTTAATTATCAAAAAATTATTTTGCAAGCTGAAGGCTGACGTTTAACTTGAAACAGGTGCTTAGGTCATGGTATTTGTGAATTCTTAGCCTTTTGCTCCAAACAAGAAGACTAATAAATGGCAAGTATGGATGACTTCAGGTTTTTTTAAAAATGTCTTCCAGTTTCGGCCACTATTATGATAAGCACATTTGAGACTGCAGCAGTAAATTCCAAATATTTGTTGTAATTTGAAAAGAAAAAGATGTTAAAAAGTTACATATATATCTGTATCCTGGTTCATCTTATGACAGATTTACTGGATAGAAATGAAGGTCCAGTTTTGCAGTTAACCCTTTGGTGTGATAAAGAAGCATAAAGACAAGATATCAAGATTGATTTCATATGTGATACCTAAAGAGATTCTGTACAAGTACATATTTTTACATGTGTAAATCCACATTTTTGGATGAAAGGAGGGGTTTTTCTCCTGGAGACAGAACCTGTTATTTACTTTTTAAAGTCTTGGAACATTTGCTCTTTTTAAATTTTTTCATTCTTCTACAGAAGGACCAGATTGTGTAGCAGCTAAGTGAGTGCATGCTTACATTTAGTTAAAAGAATGGTAAAAGCGAACAACCCAGTTTGAGTCCATGATGGAACCCTGTTCACCTTCCTAAGATGAGAGGCTGCTGTATAACAGTTTTATTCATCCTGTTTTGTGGAGTCATATAGCACAGTAGAGTTAGTTTTCTGTGTGGCCAAAACTGGAAGAAAAGTAGCACGAGTAGTTTTTTAGATAAGAAGGTGAGATGGACCCTATAGTATGACCTGCTTTCAACTTTGGACATAGAAGAGAAGAAAAAGATAATGAGAAGTTTCCATATAACTCCTTTTTCCTAAGAAAAAGAAAAATGTCTTATGTAGCACCATTTGACTTTTTTGGAATTTTACATTACATAGTTCCATTTTTTATAAAGTCACAAGTAACTCTTTTCTCAACCCAGATGGGTACTTGCATTTATTTTTCTAGGTGGTAGGTGTAATGTTAAACTGAAAAGGCTGGGACTCAGGTAAATTTCCCCAGTTGGAATTGGACTTTCTCATTACCGAGTGGGTCTATCTCAGAACCAATGTTGTCAATCCACTGGTTGTTTCATTGTAGATTTAGAAGAAATTCAGGATCTGAAAAAAAAAACCTCAAATAAGAAAAATAGTTCCACTAAGAAATGTGGATTTTGTTTTTCGTTCATTATAGATTAAGAAGAAATTCAGGGTTTGGGGAAAAAAAAACAAGAAATATGGATCTTCCTTCCTTTTTTTCCCCTTTAACAGTTAGTTATATGGTGAAGACTAGAGTGGAAAACTGTTCTTGCTTTCAAACAAACAGGAGCATTGTATCATGTCAAGCCTTTCATAAGAAGCATGGACACTTTATTAATGATTCTTAGTAGAGAAAGAATTTTAAACTTACTAGATGAAATTAAGAACAGGTAGTATAATTAGATCATCTTTGTTTTCTGGAATGGTTGCTGAGGGCCATGGGGGCGATGATGTTGGGAACACAGGATAGATTTACCAAAAATTGAGAGTGATAGAAATTGCCAAAAATGGG